CCCCAGCCTCGGTTCCCACACACCCGCCACTCGCTGAAATTAAAGCAGGGTCTGATCTGATTCCTATGGCGGCTTAGCGCGCCCACTCAGCCGGTTTATCATAATCCCGACATAAAAATCGTTCCCTTGAAAACGCTCAGGGGTTTGAAGCCCCGATTGTTTGAAGAGGGAAGACTCTGTTCTCGGCACAAAGGCGTGCTCCCCTCTCAGCCCCGGTCCAGCGGCCAGAGGCTTCAATCAGCATTTTTGACCCCCGTAGGTACCGATGGCAGGAAGCTTGGCGCTTTCCTTTGGCACAGAGATCCCCCCCCAAACCCGGCCTGAGCAGCTGGAGCGCACACCACACAACCCTAACACCCCAAAACCAGCACAGCTTTGAGGAGCAGTGCTGGGAGAGAGTCACCCTGCCCTGAGAGCACCTTCAAAAACCATCCCCTCTCCCACCAAATCTGGACGCCACTGCTTAGAGGAAGGAATTATATCTCTATATTTCAAATATGTGTGTAGATACACACAGATTTCTATCGTATCAGAGTGATTTCTTTGTGGTGGCACTGCAGTGCCATTCCACACCTGCCCAACCCACGGCACACGGGACTGTGCCGGGAGGGAGATCTGGGGAGAAAAAGGGGACACCATGCTCTAGGGACACCTAGAAGGCTTGAGCCATCAGGGCCTCCTATTGTTTTCCATTAAAAACTGGGAAAAGACCAGCAGCAAACTCCTTCAGTGGGGAAATGCCTTTTTTTCCTCCAACAGTGAAAAATCCTGATTTTTAAAAAATATTATTTTTAACTATTCATCATCATTTGGGGGTAAGAATTTTCTAATATTAAATATTAAAAAATGCAAGTATTTTATCCCTCACAAAGCAAAAGTTCAAATCCACTGGCAGCACCAACCAGCACGAGTATTTCTGCACTTTTGCCACTCTTGCCAATCCTGTCACTCACAGCGCATCGTTCGTATGGTGAGAGCGGGGTGAAAGGGCTTTGGACTCAGCAACAAAATGCCCTGCTGCATTTCTGTATCCTTGGCACAAGCATTAAAGACAGGAGCTAAAGGGGATTTATTGAATGAAATTGATAATTTTCAATAATTGTGTTTGTACAGGCTTGTTCTCCTCAATGACTCACTGAATCATGGAAAAATTAGTATTGCATTTGCTCCCTTTTTTTTTTCTTTCCCTGCTCCAAGCTGCTGCTAAGCAAGAGAAGGGACATGGAGAGCTGATCCCTTGCTCCTGAACATGTGAATGTGTCTCCTATTAATGTCTCCAGCAGTTATGTGACCAGAAGGGAGAACAGAGTAGACAGTGCTGAGTGTTAACCAGTCAAATCATAGTGTCCAGGCAAGCTTAAATGGCCACATGTAAACTGCAATTTGGATCAATGTCATGCCAATACACCGGCCTTACTGCTGGTGCGCTCCAGGAGCGAAGCAGAGAGAAAATGGGGGGAAAAAAAAATTTAAAAATCAGCTCTTTCTTTGCAAGACTATCCTAAAAGCCTTCGAGAGAGCCAAGCTCACAGCCATGCAGCCAGTCTTGCCACTGGGAATGGTCGCCCCCCACAACAAAAATCCAGATTAAAAAGGAATCTCCACCCAGACGAAGAGCAACAAACCCCGACAGTGCCCACAGACCCCACGGGCAAAGCTCGTGGCAATGGGACCCCCAAGGACCCACCGAATGGTAACGGGGCAGCAAGTGGGGTGAAACCGGTTCCCATTCACCCTGCCAGGCTGGGAGCACAAAGGGATGGGTGGGGACCAGGAGATGCTTTAGATAATGGCCAGTCTTCGCCAACCCAACGAAGAACCGGGGAAGGTCTTTTCACCTTCCAGCCTGCGCATTGGATTTTTTTGGTGAGACACAGTGTGCGCGGAACTGAGCCCACCCTTTAATCCTGAGGTTCATCTGCTGGGGCCAAGCACGCTTGGACGGTGGCAGCGAGGTCCTCAGGACGTAGATGGATTGCCTTACAGGGCTAACGAGCTCCATCTGCCCGGGGAGTGTCCTAACCTGGAATCCAACCCGGGTCTCGGCGTTGACAGCGCCGCAGCCTAACCACTGCACCACCAGGGGCACTTGGAGATGCTTTAGCCCCACGGTGTCACCCCGTCCCTGAACCAGGAGGGTCACAGCCATTTTAAAGGGAGCTTTTTGCACGGGCTCCAGAGAGCGAGGTCGGGCCTGGTGGGCTTTAAACCCACCCTCTGCATCACAGAGCAGCACGTGGGTCTGGGCCCGCCACACGTGATATGCCAAATTCCTGGCTGAGTTTCGTCCTCATCCCAGTTTGCATCCCCCCACTCCTGCCCATGCCTTTGTTACAGCCAAGCAAGTGACACCACCAAAATCAGCCTATGGCAGCGCTGCACAGAGCAGGATTGGTCACCCAGGAACACCAAAAGATGCTCACATAGCATCGCTCCCAGCCCCTGATTGGAGAAAAGGTGATTTTTCCCTCCCTCCTCGAACGAAGACACTGGCCAATGGTGGGTGGCACATGGCAGCTCCCCAGTGCTCACCCAGAGTAAGAGTCCCTTGTCCCCCTGGGAAGCCACTGCTCCTCTTCGCACCAGGACTTCAGGCCACTGCTCAGTGCCAGTGTCTGCCCTCAGACACATCCTGGTTCATCAGCCTGGTTGGAGCAGCAACTATCCATACTATCCATATTATCCACCTGGACCAGCAAGGAGGCTCGGCCTGCCTGGGAAGGATGAAGGAGAGCTCTGTGCGGTGACACCAAAGCCAGGGGGGGTCCAACTTCATCCTACGAGACGCTCAGGTGTGAGCGTCCATGGAGGATGTTCTTCCCCCTTCCATGGAGGATGTTCTCCTCCCTTCCGTGGAGGATGTTCTCCCCCTTTCCATGGAAGATGCTCTCCTCCATTCCATGGAAGATGCTCTCCCCCATTCCATGGAAGATGCTCTCCCCCATTCCATGGAGGATGCTCTCTCCCTGTCCACAACCCAAAGCTCAAAGGATTTCTGGAGCTGGCTCCCTGTTGCCTTGTCCTCTACAATGTCCCCCCTTTGAGCGGGGATGAGCCACCTGGCCAGGAGGGCAGCACTTCACTCGCCCCAGAGAGAAGCAGCAGCAAGGCAACAAGAGGGAATCCTATAAGAGCCCGTCAAAACTTCCCTACACCCTTTCCACCACCGAGGTGGGCTGTGGGAACAGCCCCAGGAACAATAGCAGCACCCAAGTGAACCTCGGCGGGAAGACAGAGGGGAGGTTTTCACCAAGCTCTCCCTGAGAAGATTGTTACATGAACCCCCAATTAACACAGGCACTAAATTATTCTGAATTACAGGCCCGTGGGTGAGGGGGGGAATAAAAAAAACCCTTGTTTATTAATTTCAAGCAGTCAAAGGCGCAGGATAAATCTCTGGTGTCACAGGCAGCGCCACAGCCCTTCCCTGGCCGAGGTGCCAGGGACAGTTTCTTCTGCCCTTCCGTTTTTTGGGTTTGCTTTGTTTTTTGTTTTTTGTTTTTTTTTTCTTTTTAAGGTCCTGATGAGCACATGAGCAAAACGAGCGGGTCCAGCAGGGGTCAAAAGTCAGCTCCTTTCTACATCTCTCACAAGAGTGTTTTCATAAAGTCACAAAGCTATAATTGCTCCTTTCCAGAATTAGATCAGGTGCCGTCACCCACATTAGCTCTTTATTATTATTAAGCCCTTTTTTTTTTTTTTCCCCCCCCCTCTCTCCTTGGAATCACCGCTCTGAGATTATTTGCTCTTAATCCATCACGAGACCTTTGTGTTCTTCTAAGCAACATCAAGACACCTTTGCAAATAGTTGGCTGTATTTTGAAGGCAGCAGCCAAGGCAACCAGCCTCACTCTTAAAAGTGAGTGGGAAGCACCCAGTTCAGCTCTTTGACCCAAAATTCCCTTCTACAGTAGAGCAGTTTAAAAAAAAAAAAAAAATTTAAAAAAAAAATCTCGTTTTCCACAAGGAAGAGGTTGGCACATAATCCAGTAAAGAGGGGTAAGAACAAGCATGAATTTGCAGAGAAGATAAATTAAACAAAATCAAGTTCCCCAAATAGTCTCACACGGTTCCACACACGTTATATATACCTATATATTTCGTGAATCCCCAATCTTGGAATCTTGAGTCTATTCAAAGAAATGTTCATAGACAAAGGGTTAAAAGAAGAAAGAAAGTGTTTGGAAAGAGATACTAGGGAAGAAAAACAAAGAAAACTGCAAGAAACCATTTTCCAAATCACCATATCCTTCTTTCTAATCCTAATATCAAGTTATAGCTGTCAGGGAAGAAAATTAAATGTATAACAGACAGGGGAGAGTGGGGGAGGGAAAGGAAAAAAAAAAAAAAAAAAGGAAAAAGAATCCAGTAGTCGTATTTGCAAGACAACCATTAATAAACATTGCTCTGTTGCTGCTTTATTAAACAGATAATCCAACACAGTAATCTGTATTGATTTATGGATTCTCTGATGCTCTACGACTGGTTATGCAATGAAAGTTCATCCTTGATCTGTAGTCTGGGTCCTGGGCTTAACTAATTCATAGTCTGATTGGAAGTTTTACTTTTTTAATTCAATTAGGGTTAACGGCCGAGGAGAGAGCGGCAACATCTTTGTCTTTCTCAACACAGACGGTTTCTCCCCATGCCCAGAATTAGTAAACTGATAAAATCACAGGAGGAAAATGGGTTCTTAAAAAAAAAAAAAAAAAAAAAAAAAAAAAAAAAAAAAAAGTAAAAAATCCTACCTCGGGTTTTAATTCCAGACTCTGAAAGTTGTCTTTTCCCCCATTTTTTTTTCCGCCTCTCATTTCCTTTCTCTTCCTTTTAATTTTTTTTCTTTTCATTTTTTTTTTCTTTTCCTCCTCTTCCTTTTGATGAATTTCCTTTCTTCTCCACATCCTCCTCAGGCGTGTAATGGGGTTATTTTTACTTTCGGTTATCTAGCTTTATGAAGAATCGACACCACTCATACAGCTAGATAACCAAAGATAACAACCAACCCCTGGAGTCTACAGCATCAGCAGGAAAAAGCCAACCTCCTCTTCTCCAGGGGTTTCGGGGGCACGTGGCTTTTAAGGAAGGAACGAGGGAGGAAAACGAATAAAAAGAGATGCAAATATTAGCAGCCAGGTCCATAATATCCGCACGCAGCTACAGCCCTGGCCCTGTTCCCGCAGCCCAGGGCACAGAGTCCCGAGCATCACCGGGACAGGCAGGATCAGGCCCCTCGGAAAACACAATTTGGGGCAGAATTACAGGATCGCCACGCAGGAGCTGCCTATTTTCTGCCGAGTTTCAATTTGTTTCATTTGCAAACCAAATGATGTTCTGCAGGTGCCGAGAATTAAGCCCACATTATTTTTAATAACTATCAAATTAATGCATTCAAACTGGTAATAATCAAGGCAAATACAATTTGCGCCCGCAACTTAAAATATGCATAGAAGACCAAAAGGACATTTCCCCACCCAGAAACGCGTTTAACGCTCTCTAAACAAAATGACTGCGAGAAAAAAAACCTGACGGTTAATATAAATAAGAACTTGTGATGCTTTGGATTCAGCCAAGATCTGGGGGAACAGAAGCGATGAACAAACACAGAAAACACAGAGGAAATGATGAAAGGAGGAAAGAAGGAAGGCAGCGACTCCTGCTCGCGGCTCAGGACCCCGGCTCTGCGCGGGGACCGGGACCCGCATCACTCCCTTCGTTCGGGGGGGACCGGAGCTTTCCTTGGTGTGGACCCGCATCCCTCGCCTTCCTCTCCCCGTATCCCTCCGTCCTTTCTTCTTTCGCAGGGAACACGCATCCCCCGTGGGCTCCGCATCCCTCCATCCCTCCTTTCTCCGGGGGTGGGGGAGAACCCTTCCCCTTCTCCGGGAGTGACCTGCGTCCCTCCACCCTTCCTTCCCCCGGGGAGGAACGCGCATCCCCGCACCGCTCCTCCTCTCCAGGGCATCCCGCATCCCTCCATCCCTCTAGGGGAGGAACCCGCATCCCTCCCCTTCTCCCGCGGCACCCCGCAGTCCAACCCGCATCCCTCCGCTCGCCGAGCGACCTGCTCCGCTCCCATCCCTCCTTCACCTGCAGCCTCCGCTCGCTGCGGGGAGGACGAGGAGCCCTCGCTCCGCCGAGACGCCGCGGCTCCTCCGCCCCCGCCTTCTCCCGCGAAGCGGAGCGCCGGCAGCGCGGGGCCGGGGCCCTGCCGGCAGCTCGGGGCCCTCGGCGGGGCTCGGCGAGGCTGGGCTGGGCTCAGCGAGGCTCGGCTCGGCTCGGCTCGGCTCGTACCTGCTGCCCGCCGCGCTGCCCGCAGCCGCTGCCCGCAGCCTCTGCGCCGGGGGGAGCGGCGCGCGGCACTTTTCATTCATGCTTTCCCACTCCCGGCCCTCTCCCGGCCAGCCCATTGGCTCGGCCCCTCCTGACGTCACCCGCCCCGGCTCCCACCCCTCTGCAGCGCCCCTCGGTTCATCAATGGGTTTGGGAGGGGCCGCGAGCCGCGCGCACACGCGCGTCGCCGCCGCCCGTCACCACCTCCACCCCCCCATCCCCCCCACACACCCCATCTCTGTCGCCTTCGTCCCTCTCACCCCCCGTCTCTGTCACCCCCATCACCCTTCCCCATCAGGCTCTCCACCATGGCTATCACCCACCTCAGAACCACCATCGCCATCGCCATCACCAGCACCATCACCCTCCGTTCACCATCACCCTCATCACCATCATCCTCATCACCATCACCATCACCCTCATCACGCCGTCGCGGGTACCGCCCGCGGCACCATTATCACCACCATTATCACCGCCATCACCCTCACCACCATCTCGGCGCCATCGTCCTCGTCACCATCCTGTTCACTGGCCTCAGCACCATCATCACCGCCCTCATCCTCGTGTCCACCCCGTTCACCACCCTTGGCACCACCAGCACCCTCATCACCATCACCCTCATCACCACCGCTGGCCACCACCCATCGCCACCACCCACCCCCAACACTAAGGGTCCCCACTGCCAGCCGTGACCATCCTCCCACCACCCACCCCTCCAGCTCTCCCCCTCTCTGCCCCCCGGGGCTCTGTGAGGGGAACCCCTGCTCATCTCCGCTGCTGTCCGAGTGGTGCCGGTGCCACACAGGCCTGGCCGGGCTCTGCAGCTCCCAGATGGAACCAAAAGCTATTTTATTTTTGTAGTTTTAACCCCACGGGCCACTAACTACCCCTTGATTTTCCTGCTTTAACGCAGATCCCACCAAAAATAAGGCCATGATTTTTCCTTGAACAAGAATGGAGTTCGGGGGTTCTGTTTTGTTTTTTTTTTTTTTCCCCCACATTTTCTCTTAAAATTCCTCTTCGCCTTGCAATTTTTTTTTCCCCTAGTATAAAACCATATGGGTTTGCGTCTGTGAGTTTAGAGTGGGAAGTTACTCATGGCTTTTGTCTCCTTCCTGGAGCCAGATTCCCCTGCTGGTGGCACGTCCACCCTGTCAAGGCCCTCTCTCCCAGTTGCCCCCACTGGGAAAACGGGAGCCCACTGGTCTGGCTCTCATCAGGCCCAGCACTTACAGCCCTGCCTGAGAGTGGGGAAAGAGGGCGAGGGGATGTGGAAATAACCCCGGGGAGGGTCCTGTGAGGCATCGTGGCAGCGGGGAACCTTCTCAGCCCTGGGGGTTTCCAAACTTGCCCGGGGAGGTGGTGAGGGGGGATGGTCCCAAACAGCTCAGCCTTATGGACACCCCAAACCATTCTGGCCCCATTTTCTGGGGCTGGGGCTCTGTCCCCCAGGACTGTCCCCTCCCCGTGGCCTCCAGCCCGGCTTGTCTGCGGGTCCCCCGGCCGCACAAAAGGGCTTGGGGTGTGGTGTGTGCGTGTTGCACATTTCCCCCCTTCCCTTTGGCCGCTTCCAGGCTCGGTTGGGGAGGAAAATGCAAATTTCGGGAAGACTCTGTGGGTGCTCACGGGCGATGGAGGGTGGGGTTGGATGCAGCGCCTTTTGGAGGCACCAGGGGATTCCCCCCCCCCCAACTGCGACCCCCACCCGAATTGCAGCCCCCAATTTCTTTTAGGCGAAGGGCCCTTCCCGAGCCCTCCCGGCGCTGCTCGCGCCCCGGGGCTGGCGCTGCGCGGGGTTTCTCCCTCCGTGTTTCCCCGTCACCCACCTGGGCCGCGCTCCCCACGCGAGCGGCTTCTCCCCCGTGGGCAGAGCGGGGCTGGGGGCCGACCGGGGGGGAGGCAGCGACTGGACTCGGAGCCGGGGCCGAGGCTCTCCTGGAAGAGAAGACATGGAAAGGGTCGGTTAGAGAGCCGGCAGCGCCAGGAATGCCCGCGCAGCCCCCACGCGTGGGTGTCCGCGGAGCAGCTCTGCGGGGTCCCGGCTGGGCCGGCTTTAACCATTCCCCACCCTCGCCGAGATGGGGTTTTAGAGACACAACCACACGCCTTCCTTCTTTTTATTCTCCTTTTTATTAAAGTCACTTTTTTTTTTTTTTTACCACCTTAATTTTTATTTCAGGCTCCTCCAGAAATTATATTTTTTTTTTTAACCCACCAAAAGAAGAAACAAGACGAATTTTGCGATTTATCCTGAGAAAGGATGCAAAGACGCGGATTTAGCTTTCAAACTTGGATTCTCCCCGGGATTATCCCGATGACAGTGCAGTTTTATTTCAAATTTTATTTAATAATAACATCGCGTTAGACCCATTCCGATTTGGGAGGATTTAGGGAAGGACACAAGCGACTAACAGAAGATGCTAGGGTGTGTTTTTGAGTCTCTTAGCAAATAAAAACCTACTCCGTGCTTTGCTGTTTTCCTGGGGAAAAAAAAAAAAAAATCCAAATCGCCGGTAAACAGAAGGAGCCGCCGCGATAGCGGGATCGCCCCGATAACAGCGAATTTGAGGATTTCCAGCCCTAAAATTTCCACGCACACCAGTGCATAAATAAAAACTTAATTTTCGTGGACTAAAAAAGAAGCCGAGCTGGGCAGAAGCTGAGCCGGTGGGTACCAGGTGCTTTTCTGCAGAGCAGGGAATCCGCGCTCGAACCGAAAAATAACCCCAAATAAGCTCGGTTTGATTTTTTTTTTCCCCCGCGCACTCTTTGAGCGCAGCTTCTTCTCCTTCCCCGCGCAGAGGGGGAGACTCAAGGACAGACCGCAAGGATGAGGATTTTAAAGATACACACCTCTCCCCCAACCCACCCCCCCCCAAAAAAAAAAAAAAAAA